TTTGCTTTGAAAAAAAATTAATTCTTATCATAAATTGAACGCCAATTACAGTGAATGTGTTATATTTTCTATCGTATCAAAAATTTTCATAATAATAGTTGCACACAATATGATATATAATGCATTTTTTTGTATAGATTTGGAGTCTTAGTTTTACTACAAGAAAATGAGAAAATTTCAACAAAAACTACAACAAATATAATGATTTCTTATATTGATTTTAGAAAAATCTTGACTTTTGGTTTCTTAAATATATTTTACCTTATTGTGATTGCATAGATTTATTAAAGTGTATTACAAATGAGAAAGGTGATAGATTATGTAAAGTATAATTTATAAATAGCAATGAGATGTTATTTTGATGGTATATTTTTTCTATTAACAAAATAATGCTCATAATATAAAATTATTTTGAATCTATCACTGCAATTATCTTTCCAATGGAACTTCTATTGAACTTTTGCATAATGCCAATGACAATTTTTTCAAAATGATTGAAATATGGTCCAAAAAATAAATTCCAATAAAAATTCAGGTAATTGAAATCTTTACATCCACTAAAGTTCATGTAATTTAATTTGAACTCTATTGGAATAGCCAATGAAAGCAACATATTCGTTGAAAATTTTCAGTCGAATACCTTACCGTTGAATTTTTCATTGCAGTATAACAAAATTTTTGTAGTCCTCTTAAACATTATTTTTTATGTAGTATATATTGAGTAATTGTGTTTACAATTTTTCTATTAATAATATATTAAACACGTGAACTTTTTAGTTTCTATAATTTTTTTTTTAGAAATCACTCATTATTTTATGTCAAGATTATCTATTAATTTACCAATTGAGTTACATTTCTTACATATTAAATATTATATAATTAAAATATTTCTTGTTTTATCTGTTCAATATCATACTTATATATTATATTAAAAAAATTATTATACTAAATAAAAAAGTTATTTAAAATTAGAATACTTATTTTTTTCTAATCTACATGTATAAATGTATAAATAACTATTGTCTATCACCTCAAATTTACATATAAAATTCATAAGAACAAAAAACTAACAAGCATTTAACAATTCAGTTCGATTACATCGATAAGTTATTTTTAGAAGGTTTATATTTAGTTATATTATTTTTTTATTAGTTTGTTTTATATTTATTAGTACGTGTCACAACTTAGTTATTATTCATATTATTTCTTATATTTAATATTTTTTTAAAACTTTGTCTTGTTCTTTCACATGTTCTTAACTGTATATTTGACAAAAAAGACATAATATAAAGAATAGAATTTTTTCGATCATCTGCCTCATTATATATCAAATATTTGTATATTCTATATTATATTATAGTTAATTACAATTTTTTATTAATATTTTAATTAAATATTTACAATTTATAAATTCATTAATAATATTGTCGAGTCAACTTTTATTCATAAAATTTTTAAAAATATATTATTTTCATTGATTTTGCTTATTGAGAAAAGTTATGTTTTTTTAATTACATATAGGGAGGATATAAGATTTCTTATATTTTTCATGTAGTATTTACTGAGTAATTGTGTTTACATTTTTTCTATTAAAAATATTTTAAAAGCATGAACTTTTTAGTTCCTATAATTTTTTTCTTTCAGAAATCACTCATTATTTTATCCCAAGATTACCTATTAATTTACCAATTGAGTTACATTTCTTACATATTAAATATTATATAATTAAAATATTTCTTGTTTTATCTGATCAATATGATACTTATATATTATATTAAGAAAACTATTACAGTAAATAAAAAAGTTATTTAAAATTAGAATAATAAAGATTTTTTTCTTCAAATCTACGTGTATAAATGTACAAATAACTATTGTCTATCACCTCAAATTTACACATAAAATTCATAAGAACAAAAAACTAACAAACGTTTAACAATTCAGTTCGATTAAATCGGTAAGTTATTTTAGAAGGTTTATATTTAGTTATATTAATTATATTATTTTTGTTTATTAGTTTGTTTTATATTTATTAGTACGTGTCACAACTTAGTTATTTTTCATATTATTTCTTATATTTAATATTTTTTTTAAAACTTTATCTTGTTCTTTCACATGTTCTTAACTGAAGATTTGTCAAAAAAGACATAATATAAAGAATAAAATTTTTTCGATCATCTGCCTCATTATATATCAAATATTTTTATATCCTATATTATATTTTTTTAATTACATTTTTATTAATATTTTAATTAAATATTTACAATTCATAAATTCATTAATAATATTGTCGAGTCAACTTTTTTTCATAAAATTTTTAAAAATATATTATTTTCATTGATTTGCTTATGTTGAATTGAGAAAAGTTATGTTTTTTTAATTACATATAGGGAGAATATGAGATTTTTTATAATTTTAATGTAGTATTTATTGAATAATTGTGTTTACAATTTTTCTGTTATATATATATATATATATATATTAAACACGTGAACTTTTTAGTTACTATAATTTTTTTTTTCATAAATCACTCGTTATTTTATCCCAAGATTACCTATTAATTTACCAATTGAGTTACAATTCTTACATATTAAATATTATATAACTAAAATATTTCTTGTTTTATCTGTTCAATATGATACTTATATATTATATTAAGAACACTAATATAGTAAATAAAAAAATTATTTAAAATTAGAATAATAAAGATTTTTTTTTTCTAATCTACATGTATAAATGTACAAATGACTATTGTCACCTAAAATTTACACGTAAAATTAATAAGAACAAAAAACTAACAAGCGTTTAATAACTCACTTCGATTACATCGATAAGTATATTTTTAGAAGGTTTATATTTGATTATATTAATTATATTATTTTTTTTAAAAGTTATGTAAATTATATATAGGGAGGATATAAGATATAATGGTATTAGTATATTACCAAATTGTCATTAAAACATGTGAAAGTAAGGGTTTTTTAGGTAGTTCATTTTTTATTTAAAATATAAATAAAATATGATGTGTGTTAGTGTATTACTAATTTGCCATTAAATTTATATCAAAGTAAGGGTTTTTAAGCATTATGAATTTTTACAAAAACACTCATCCTTTTAAAGTAATAAGAGTTTTTTAGGCATTATGAATTTTTACAAAAACACTCCTTCTTTTAAAATAGTATAGATATAGATAGATATAGATATAGAGAGTACTTGAGTGTAATAATTTGTTGTGTGAGTTAATGTATTATGTAAATTTACAATTCAATTATTAGCCCGATAGTGGTGATGTTATTAACAAGAAGAAAAGAAGATTGAAGATGAGACGTGCTTG